CCACCCACCTTAACCAGGTCCTTGCCGGCCTGGTCCACCTCCCCGACCAAGAACATCTCCGAGCAATCCCCGTGGTATCCCTTGTAGAACACCGTCACGTCCACGTTCACGATCATGCCGTCCTCCAGCACGGTGCTGTCCGGGATGCCGTGGCAGATGATCTCGTTGATGCTGGTGCAGCAGCTGAGAGTGGGGGTTTCGGGCGTGAAACGGCAGCGCGCGGGGGGGGGGGGTCGTACATTTGTTTTGCTTCCCGGCTGAGCAACCTTGAGACAGTTGACCCCGAGCAACAGGAAAAAAATATACGGGTGCGTCGTTCTCCGGCAAACCAGCGAGCGCTTGACAGGAAAAAGTTAAAAATCAATGACTCTTAAAAATTATAGACGAAATCGCGAAAATTGAAGCACTAGCTCTTGACCCTACCTCCTCAACAGCACGAACAACAACGGCCACGAGTACCACGTTTTCGAACGCGATGAAAAACGACGACCACTGTGCATATTGTACGAGCCTGTGAGCAATTGCATGCTTGCTCTCACCTCTTGGGGAACCCTTGGTAATTGAGCGGCGAAGGGTACGCCCCCCTCTCCACCGCCGCCTCGTGACACACGCGGTCGATCTCATCCGTCGTGGCCCCCACTTTCACGGCCTGCCCGGCTAGGTCCAACACCTCTCTGCAAACGTCGTCAACGAACCATGGAAATGTACCGCAAAGCATTTGGTGGTATCATACATTGTATGCATACGTGAAACAAAGAAAAAGTGATGCGGTGGAAACAGAAAAAAAAAAAAAACGCGGGCGCCACAGGAACGAGGACGTGTGCCGCAAATCATTTGGTGGTATCATCGGCACACGAAAACAAAAAAAAAAAGTGATCATGTGGAAACACTAAAAAACATAGAACGCGAGCGCGACAGGAACGGGAAGGAAGATGGTACCGAGGATTGGATGAATGCAAGGCCTTGGGGTGTTGCAAGACTCCTCGCGGAGCGCGGGAGCAGTTGCGTCTCCGCCAGGTCAAGCCCGACGACATATATCAGCCTCGCCACGAAGGAATAGTTCCGCCAAAAACGTCACCATTAACAAGCCGAGGCAAAAACGATCGAAAGAGGAACAACCACAGAAGAACCAGGAAACTACGAAACAAGAGACAGAGGAGAAACAAAGAGAAAGAGCAACGAAGAGAAAGAGCGACAAGACAAAAAAAAAACGTGCGAGTCGACAAAGCGTCCTCCAGTTGTTGATGATGTTGTTGTTGTTGTTGATGTTCACCCGCTCATCTTTGGAGGGGGCCCGCGCGTTTGTTATTTTGTCAATCTGGGGTTCCCTGTTGTTTTCGAGATTCATCAGCTGTGCAGGAAAGCCTATCGTACGCGAAGGACGCCCGCAAGACACGTCGCGACGCCCACCCCAGCCGCCGCCATCACGGCCGCGATGCCGTGCTTGAGTCCACAAGCAGGTCTGGCCGTCATCGACGCAAGCACCTCCAGCGCCACAACTACTGCCAACTCATTTCCTGTCCCCAAATAAAAATACCAAAATTTCTACTGGCGTGAACGATACGATCACGTTGGAATCGCTGGGAAATGGAAATCGACGTGGCCACCTGAACCATCGCAACTTCCACAGACCCAAGGCCTCCCTCGCATACTACACTCTACGCCAGTGAACGACACGGTCGCGTTCAACGGTAGCATTGAAATTCGCTGGTATAACTTACCTCGCGACCTTCCCCGCCGCCCTCATGGCCGCGATATCCGCCTCGTTCTTAACCTCGACTATCCACGGCAGCATCGGGCTCTTGCCCTTTGGGATGCCATCCACCGCGTAGTCAGGCCTGCCAATCTCCGGCGGCACCTGCGTGGGCGTGCCAAAATTCGTCAGGTCTGGAAATTCGTTCAGGCCCGTGCTAAATGTACACTCTGGTAGAACAAGGTTTCATTGGCAGCGTCGGACTCCGAAAAACATGAACCCCAATTCCGCAGAGGTCCCCCAAAGACACCCGCACGATCCAAACCGGTTTATCCTTTCCACTACCCCAATGGTTCATCACGGGAGCTGCGACCAAATGAAAGGGGTCGTCCAAACCTACCCAGCCGAACAATCCAGCGTTCATCGGTGGACAGATACCTCGGCCTGAAAAGGTAGTGAGACACGCACTTCGACCGTGGTCTCGGACAGGTAGTCTCTCTGTTTTTGCATGCATTTTCTCAAAAGAAAAAAACGGCGGCAAAACAAAACAAAAATCGACTCACCGGCCGTGTTGGGCTCTGGGTCCCCGGCCGGAGCTCCCCCGTGTAGGCGAAACCGCTCCGCCTGGAAGGCTTTTTCCTCGGTGGTTTCTTCTTCGCCGCGCCGAAACCCTTGTTCATGAAGAGCGACCCTCGTGCGTCTGGTTTCGCGGGTGGGTGGATGTGTCAGGGCATCGACAAGCGGCCGCAGACAAAACAGGTGGCAAAACAAACGTGCACGGGATTGGGTGTACGTAGGAACTTTGAGCCGAAAAATCACCAAGCGGAGAAAAAAAACGATGACCGTGCCAAAGAGAGGCAAGGAAAATGAAGTGTGCCGTTGGACCCTCAAACGGGTGGTATTAGACATGTGCCCTTGTCTCCCAGAACGCGCACTCAGCGGGGGAAAGCGCCACCGCTTTGGGCGAAGCAATGGGGTGCAAGGTGCTCTGGCCGAAGACTATCACAAGCCAGTACTGCCTGACAGAAACATGGGAATAGCGCGGTGGACTCCACGCGACCCCTTGATACATTTTGCCTCTTCCGGTTCCTCCGCGACGGCCGGCGGGGTGTGTCCACAGCAGCAGCAGTCGTTCCCAAGGTTGAAACACCCAAGCCGATCACCCAAATGCTTCCAAAACATTTCCTTCACCCCCTTCCCAATAGTACGACAGACAAGACGGCCACCATATAGTCTTGTTTGAGACTGTGTTAACCACGAGGGGGGTATCACTGATGTTACGCTGCTCGGAGAGTAGTAGAAGCACAGGTTGGCCGAGTAACAACATGAAATTGATGATTTCTCTCAGGCCGAAACAAACAAACGGTCGAACAACGCAGCAGTGGGCACGTGGGGACTCCAAGGCGAGCCTTTCGTCCTTGGAAACTACCCTCCAAGACGAGGATGAAAATCGTCACGAGAAACGAACAGACTCCTTTCGAAACGCGAAACCGAAGCACGGTGAACCCGCGGCACGCCAAGTTGTCTCCGAATTGGGAGATGTGCCCGCACTCGTCTCCTCACTGTATAACCAACACTGCTGTCGGCAGCACTTAAGGGCGGCCATTTGTCGTTATCGTACGGTAGGGGGCAACAGGTGGAGTCAAGTCCCAGAATGTGCTAGCATCGTACAAGCTACATCTGTAGCCGGCAGCGCGCAGTGCGGCCGTTGGCGGCCGCCCCGAAACATAGGCTGCGAGTAGAGGTAAATAGCGCGTGTGCTGTTGTTGCCGGCTGAAGAGGTACACGGGGATATTCTTGGGAGAAACACGGGCTGCGAGTTAGGTAGCGGATGTGCTGTTGCCGGCTACAGAGCGGTTGAGAGATGAATGACACAAAGTAGTGCCGCAAACGGTTGGAGCTGCGTGGCGGAGTGCAGGGAAGGGACAGGACAGGCATGCCAGGGCACGGTGGTCCATGTGCACCGAGCAAGGTTGAGCCAAACGTTACAACACGTCTAGCCCATCTTGCGCCTACATGCACCCCTCTGCGCTTCAACCGCCGGCAGGCATCATGAAAAAGCTTCAAAGATCATGACCGTAAACACATTAGCAAATGCACAGCAGACGCGATTCAGTGTAAACAGGAGGTTGTAAGCACCACCACCAACAGCTTCTTGGTAAGGGGGGGCGCCATTCAATCTATAGCAGGCAGCAGCAGCAGTAGCAGCAGCAGCAGCAGTAGCAGCAGCAGCAGCGAGACCGCAAGAGGTAACCATCCCACCTGCTGTTCTCGATGGACAGTTGCAGTGCCCCTGAGGCATCACCCCCGGCGTGACGAAAGCACTTTCATGGGCCAACCCCCTTGCCAAAGAGAGAGTCAGCAGGACAAGCGGCAACATGATGGTTATCTTCCTTTCGCCGGCCGCAAGTGCAACGTCGCTGTCATGAACGAAAGCGTCGTGCAGCGCCAGGTCGGCGAGCTCGAGGGGGGAACGCATATGGAACACGGAGATAAGACTCGATAGGGTAGTGTGTAATAGTGATAGATGGTGCCCCCGGTCACGGGACTGTCAGCTTGATTCCGCGTGTAGCTGCGTAGCGGTACCATTCACACACACGACGAAAGAGCAGACGACAGACGAGCTGGGCACCAGACACACACACAATCTTTCAGGCTTAACGTCTCGCGGACCGGTGGTCGCTGAGATGTGGCAAGATTTTTCCGCCCACAACACCCAGCGCGGGGATGTAACGGCAGTTGTATGGGGCGCCCCAGGGTCACCTCCAGCAACAGGCGAAAGCACTGGTACCGTCCGCCCGTCATCTGCCGCAGGGTCTGTGGATGCCGAGGCCTTGACTAGAGGCAGAAGAGCTGATACTCCGTTCGTTCAACAGTGTGATCTTGTGTTCCCGCTTCCGGATCAAGATGGCGAAAGCGACGGCCATGACCATGGCGATACGCAAGAGAAGCAACAAGTGAGAGGCTGGCAAGTTGGGAAACATGATCGACCTCATACTCGACATCGGGGATATGGCACAGCTGTCACGGCAGTAGTCGCTCAGAAATCGTGCAGAGTTTAGCAGGATATGCATAGGTGAATTTCTCTTTTTGCAATGTCGGCTGCAACCCCTGTCCCTTCTATGTCTCACTTTTTCCGGAGGACAGCACACAAACAGCAGCAGCAGTGATTCCCAGGGAAACATCGGGAGGGCAAGTAGGCAGCGACAGACGACCGACCCATCCCTCTGTTGCCTGCCGCCTCCACCTCCGAACAGCCACAGCCCGAACGACAACGTGTACGAGCATGAGTGGGCCGGGATATGGGCAACGCCTCCTGCCCCACGGCGGCGGCCTGGCCGTTGCCGGGTGTTGCACCTGCATGGACAAATACCCTTTCCGCGCCTGACACGCCCACGTCTCTCCCCCCCCCGAACCTTACCGTACGAAATGTTCCCTACTACGCAGAAACAGCTGGAGATGGAGAAACGGGCAAAAGCTTTCGTCGTCCGAGCCCTGGGCAAGACGTTTTACTACCGCGCGCGAGGGCCGCTGTCCGCCCTCCTCAGAGAGCCTTTCCTCCGTTCCTACGTCCTCAAGCGTGGCTTCAGCGCCCTCGCCCTGAACGCCCCAAGCGACCACGGGAACAGCTTCGCGATCCTGCCGGGCGGCGTGCTGGCGCTGTCGCTTGATCGGGAGTCCTTTCAGGCAAGCATGTCGGGGTCCAGTATTACTTTTGCTGTCTCATAGCATGGCGTACATTCCGCGAACTTTCTCAGCAAGTTTTCTCAGCAAAGAGAAGCTGCTTCCAGCTCCCAGTTCGCCACACCCCCAGTCTCCCGAAATCGCTCCATTGTCGCGATGCACTGCTTTTGCCGCAACGGTTCCTCTTCCGTGCTGCTGCAGACGCTAGGCCTACCGGGAGAGGCCGCGCCCACCCGCCCCAACGGCAAGGGGAAACGGGCGGGCGCCGGCGCCGGCAGCACCGGCGGCAGCGTGGGGGTCCTGGGAGGCGGCGCGGGCGGTCCCGACCGCTACGTGTCGGCGGTCGACCTCTCCGCGAAATCGTTTCGCCCGGGCAAGCCACTCCACGACCGCGTCTTGTCCTGTCTTAGCAGTTGTCGATGGGGGAACGGCGATGATGGGTCTGCGGTCGATATGGTTGTGTATTTTTGTGGAAGCGGTGGAGTTGGGCAAGGAAGCGGGGAGGGCGGGGAAGTGGCTGAAGCGGGGTCCTCAGGAACGAGTGAGGCGTCGGGACAAGCACCGGAGGGTTGTGGACAGGGCGCGGCGGCGGTGGGTGGAAGCCGCAAGGGGGAGCGCGCGGAGGGCGAGCAAGAAGGACAGCAATCGCAACATTGCTGCCGAGATATCACCTTCCCTCCAGGTTTCTCTGCTGAAAGAGTCGACCTAGCGCCCGACATCCGATTCTTCAGGGAAGCTTGCTGCCCAGACTTGGACTTTGTCGGGCAAGGGCTTGCCGCCACTGCCCCTACCACCCCGGCACAGCGTGTTCGTCGAAAAGGGAGGAAAGGGATCGGAGCCAAGGCTTTCAATTCTACACCAACTGCCGAGAACTTGGTGGACGACGGCGACGACGGCGGCAGCGACGACCAGTTCACCGACAGCCGACATCCTCACCTTCCCCCGCCCCTCCCCTCTCCGCCGGAATCAGCCAAATGCCTGCTCGTTCTCGACATGTTCGAGTGGCTCGGCGCGGTGTCGTGCGGCCTGGACGCTGCGGTAAGGCGGTCACCGTCCCCGCCGGAGCCGTACCTGTCCAAGTTCGAGACGCCCCGCCACCTCCGCTACCGCAGCGACCGCATTGTGTGCCGCGCCCGCCTGAGGGGCTTCTTGCCGCCCGTCGCCATCTCCCGCTTTGTCGACGCGGCGGGATCGGCGGCAGCGGCGGTGGCGGCAGTAGCAAGCGCCGAAGATAGTGCCGCAGACAGCCGGCAACACTACGAATCGCCGCAGCTGTTGCCAGTGCGGCGCGTGGTTCGAGATCAAGGACAGCAGCGGCCCGATGGCTGCTCGTGGGGCGCCGTGACGTCGTGGCCGTTCCGAGACGCCCCCCGCGCGTACCCCGGTGCCGACGCCCCGTGCGCCGGCGGGCAGAGGAGCAAGCGGGGCGGCCGAAAGGGGCGCGGCGGGGGAGGGGACGCGGAGCGATGTGCGAAAGAGTGGCCTGTCGGGGGGCACGGGGTGTACACGGTTGTCGCTTGTCCCGGGGAAACCGCCGTGGCGTTCGTTGCGGCCAAGTGTCCCGGGCCCGGGTGGTGACAACGGTTCACGTGTTGCAAAACTGTAATCCATCCCTGGTTGACGCAGCAGTCACCGACAGGTCGATGCAGGCGCCGAAGGACAAGGGGGAGGGAGTCTTTGGTGCTGCTCTCGGCAGTGCGTTGATTAGCCCGACGGAGTCAAGAGAAGAGAGAGAGAGTCATGACATATGTATCAGCGTCGGTTTCGGGGCCACTCTGCGGTAGAGATGCACACCCGCGCAAAGCGAACAATTCTGAGTCCGATCTTGCGTCGAAGGGTGGCCGGGCGTTCAGCCGTGTTGTTGTATGGATCCTCCTCTGGTTGTATGTGTTGAGGGGTGCGCCCGTAGGTCTGTCTGTCCGTAGCCACTTATCGCCAACTGTGTTAGACGAGGCAGCAGGGACGGAAATGAGCCGGTGGTAATCATAGGCTATGTTGAAAGTTGTCCGGGGTGTGTTTGTACTGATGGCCTTGGAACACGAAGAAGCTGGTTTCACCGCGTGCACTGCCGAAATTTGCTCAAGACGTACTTTGGTTGGTTGAGCCGCGATATTCTAGTATCTGCGCAATCGCGTTGAATGAGAGAGGAAGGCCGCCTCATGATTTTGTGCATTAGATGTGGCATTTAGACCGCAGGTAGGTAGGTGTACCTGCTTTCCCGTGTGTGCCAGGGAAAAAAGGGCTGTCGCTAATCTTCCATGAGCTGTGTGCACTTCTAGAAAAAGAGGGTGCGGGCCATAGGTGGAAACAAACTGCGACTCGAAAGCGAACCCGGACAGCAGTTTCTCCCATGATACTGTACGTGCTACAACGTGATGAACCCGAGGCATGTGGATTTGCCCTTGGGGTGTGTGGTTCAGGGAGTAACAGACGCTTTGCTCAACGAAAGTGGGGGTAAGGTGCTCATCAGACGAGGTGATTTCGAAGAGACCATTTTTATAGCTCACACTCCGGGTGGAGTTGCTGATCGAATGGCAGACTGTGGCGTCCTTTGGCGAGCACGGTGGCAATGCGAGTCGGCGCAGGGGGGGATGCTTGAGTGCGGTGGAGAGTGACAACCCTGCACCCTTCATGTCGTTAGGTTGATTCCCATTTTTGTTCTTTTCTTAGAACACGAAACACAGTATCCATGACATCCAAACTCAATAACCTCGTCGAAACGGTCGACGTACTACACCCTTTTCTCTGCCCATTCCTCAAACATCCAATACTGTCTACCGAAACACGCCAAAATAATATTCTACGCCTACACATCCTAATCACAGCCCACCCACACTATTCCATGAACTGGTCACGCGCCCGGTTACCCTCATTGGAGAGCTGGGAAAACAGTACACAACACAGCACAACACACACCGATTTGCCCATACTCATTGTTTCCATACTGAAGACTTTATCTCCACCACTCCACCCCGCTGCATCAGGGATGGCGCGCATTCCATGTACTCGCGTATGTTCTGCACGCTCAAGCCGTCTGTTTTACACCTCATGAAGGCGGACCGCAAAATACCCAAATGACCGTTGTACCAGACGCCCCGAGAGCGAGGAACCCTATTTCCGGCGTCCAGTAATAACTCTTTGCCGGGTGGGGGCGGGGGCGGGGGGGAGGGGTCTGCATCTGACTAGGATGGTGACGGGGATACACAGGATTAGCTCGGCGCGTGATTTAACGCTCTGGGCAGCTACTCGAAGCCAACCGGTGGGTTCAGCTTGCAGTCAAAAGGAACGCCTGCTAAAATAAAAACACGGCCGGCTTCTGTACGAAGCACCTAACGGCACTTCAACAGCCGCCCCTCAAAGCACCACCGCCGTCTACAGCGGATCGGTAACGCGATCCCCCCTCCCTCCTCCCTCGCCGGCATCGTTATCGCTGCCGCTTCCACTGCTGCTGCTGCTACTGCTGCTGCTGCTGCGGCCCCCGCCACTGCCGCCGTTTGTGACAACAACGTCCATTTTTCCAGCAGCAGCAATAGCCGCCGCCGCCGGCTCGCCTTTATCGTCGCCGTTTCTGGCCTCATCGCCGTCTCCCTCTCCGCCAGCACGCTCTTCTTGCCGTCTTCTCTTCTTGCTCTGCTTGGTTAACGGTAACGGAGTGTGCAAGACGAGCCGCGGTGATTCACGCGCCAGACGGCGGCGGTCAATGGTTGGTCCGGCATCGCTTCGACACAGGAGCCCGGGCCTCAAGCGGGCAGGTTGACGTGAAGGGCGGCCAAGTACTATCTGCGCAGTCTCTCAAGTGCCCTGCACCCTGGAGAACGTGCCCCTCTACTGTCGTGGGGTGTACTGCACGTCGAACAATATACGTGAAAAAAATGATAGTGTTTTAACGCTACTTCCCCTTCAGGTTTCACAGATAGTCCTACAAAACTGTTGATATTTCATCGCCCTTCACCCACTATATCATTCTCAGGGCATTATCTTTCGACGTCCGAAGCAGAATTCAAGCCCGCGCACGCCGACGTTGGGATCAAGACACTTGGGGGGCACGATGAACGATTAGTCGCCTCGCACACAACTACCACGGTCGCTTCTTTCTAACCACGCTTTCGACCCTTCTTCTACTCCTTCCTGCTTTACTGCCGTTCCCACAGCCACTTGGCATCGCTTCTGTACCACCCTCCGTCCCCACCTCGCCCTGACAGCAAGCCCCACAGCTGTCCTACCGCTGGTTGGTGGGCCCCTCTACACATCCTGCCTCACCTTCTTCTCGCTCCGGCGTCGCTCCTTGCGCTCCTTCTTCCTCTCCTTCCTGTCCGACCTATCCTTTTTCTTCTCAGACGAGGATTTTTCCTTGCCGTTACTGCCGCCGCCGCCGCGATGGCGGCGCTCCTTCTTCTTATCCTTCCTGCGTCTCTTCCGGTCGGCTCTGCTTTCCTCCTCGCCGTCGCTGCCGTCGCTACCGCTCGAGCTGCCCTCGTCGTCGCCGCTCCCCCTGTGCTTCCGCTTCTTCTCCTTGCGGCTCTTGCGTTTCTTGTCTCTACTCTTTCTACCGCCTTTGGCTCGCCCTTTCCCGTCGTCGGAATCGGAGTCGTTGCCGTCGTCGTCGCTGTCTAGCATGGTGTGGACGAGGTGCCCGCCCAGCCTAGACTTGGCCGCCTGCCGCTGCTGCTTGCTGGAGAGCTTGTTCCCCCTTCGCTCGGCGCGGTCGCGCGCCTTGGACACGCTTGCTTTGTAGATCTCCTGCTCATCTCGAAGACGTAAAAACATTGTTGGGGTTTTCCCAGAAGTGAAAACGGGGGGGAAGGGGGGGGGCGGGGAGGGACGGTGAGAAGAAAAAAGGCCTCGTTCGTTGGTTTCAACAATGGTTGGCCATGGGCACCTTGTCCGTTGACAGCAAAACAAAATGTGGCACAGCAGTAGCACTCGCCATTCGATGCTTATTTCTACCATGCTAAAATAAAATAAAATAAAATAAAATGGTAGAGAAGCAGCTACCTGTGCGGCACGGAGGGGTGGGTCTCTGGGGAACGAGAAGACTAACGTCGTACGCGTACACGAGGTGACGGGTACGTATGTAGACTGAGAAATCGGGTCGATGCAACATACGAGTGCGAGTGATCAATGGCACGCCCCCTATAGACCGTTTTGCACAGCTAAACTGCTCCACAAATCAAGAGGCCGCCAACGTGGAAAATAGTCGCTCTGCAGAGATCTCGTCGAGAAGTTTCCTTCCTTGTGTCGGGCAGTTGTTTGCGCCGTTTTGCGGAGTAATCGACCTTAGCAAGGTGAGTCTGCAGGCATGTAGGCGTTTAGCGCATTACTGGAATGTTACGGTAGATGGGCTGCGCTGTTATTCTTCACTAACGGGACTGCCTGGAGCGTTAGATCACCCTTACAGTAGGTTTTATGAGCAAGAACATCAATTCTGTTTCAGCGTGTTGCTTAAAACATGGTAAAATACAGCCCTATTTAGTGGACTAACTTTCAAACAACCATTTTCCATCCTGGTCAACTCTCCCGCTGGACGTCGGAACATCTATTTACAACGTAGGGTGGGTGATGCGGGTTTGGATGGCAGCATTTGAGAACTTCTTTTTCTTATGTGCGCAAAGCGAGCGGCGGCAGTACCGAGGATGAACACCGGAACGTCTGCCCCGCAGTCTCAGGGCAGAGCGCGGGCGCCGAGAGCAAATCTGTACCAACACCTACAGCAGCAACACCTACAGCAGAGAGGCGACGTGGGCGCGCTACAAGGACGAGAGAACTCTCCCGTCTCAAAAATACCTAACGACGAGATGATACCAGCCGGAGCAGAGCAGAGCCCCCCAAGCACCACGACACGTCCCGACAGGGCATCACAACTATATATCCCTCCGTCGTCATACCTGGTCTCCTGCGTTGGCGCCTCGCGCAGCGGCCTCCAGCTTGTCGAGTTGCGCTGTCACCACGCGGTCGAACAGCCTCTGCTGGGCGGCCTTGGGGTCAACCATCTTGGACTTGAGGAGGAGCTCGCGCTTGCCGTGGTCCTGCAGCTTGTGCCTCTGGCACTGCCCCACGAAGCAGTGAGGGCACTGAGACATGGCGTCGGCGCTGGCGGTGGGGTGTTATATATTTTGTTTCGAGCACAGCAGAGACGCCCTCACTTGGCAGCGTGTTTGCTTGAATAGTGCGTGAGTGGGTTGGTTTGCTCACTGGCGCCGAATGGAGGAGGGTGGGGGGG